GTTGAGAGATTGTGTGTGTGGAGGAGGGTGCTTTAGCAGTTTTTTATAAGTGGTTTACTATGTAAACAAGTTTGAGGAAGATTATTATGTTTTCATTACCATTAAATTGGGGTAGTTATGGCATTATCTATACTATTCATCTGGCTGGCCCAATGCAAATATAGCAATTTATATCATGATTTAAACACACAGGCTCAATTCTTTATTCATAGGTGCCTAACTTTAGGTATCTCAAATCCAGACTTGAGCACCTGAAATGAAGTGGCCTGATTTTCAGAGTGCTAAGCACACTCTGCTCCCGTTAACTTTAGCGGGAATTGAGTGCTCAGAACCTTTGACAGCCAGGCCACTTTTACTGTTGTCCTCAACTTCAGGCAGATGAGTTTGAAAACTTGATCTTAAATTAATTTCTACCCAAGCCATTACTGCAAATTAGGCTGAGCTGAAGGTGTGCTTGATTAATGCAGAACTGGGGCTTGCCACTTCTTTGCATTTTTGCAGGTGATGTAAACTTTCTAAGATAAAGGTTTTTTTTAATTGGTATCAACAATTTTCTGGGCCTTAGTCAAGCAAACTACTCAAGTGAATTAGATGGGTCGAAGAACCTTTCTATTTTCCATGGTTCAGATAATCAATCTTCTCTTTTTTCCTTAAAGGGATTTTGGATTAAAATTGAGAGGAAGGGTCTGAGTTTAAAATAAATCTGCCCACAAATTTATGGTTTTAGTTAGCGTGTCTGAGTTTTATAGTCTCTTTGTCTCCGTTTCATCTGGCGTAGCTAAAATGGTTAAGTGATTTTGCGTAGTGTTTGCGTGAGATTTGGGCATAGATTAGAGACAGCAGGCTCAGACTTCATTCTTCAGACTGATGTGATATTGGTTGGAGGGTAGGAAACTATTTGTTGGCATTTTGACATTGATTTCAAGATGTCCAGGATTTCAACTCTTGCTCTAGTGGTTGGTGCTCACAAACCTCGCACACATTTCTGCAGTGAAATCTGTGCCTGTTGCATCCTCAAAGCACATAAGGCTGAGGTATGTAATTATTTCAGTGAGGAAAGAGTCAACTATGTTACCTGTAACGCTGAGTGTTGTAGTTTAGTACCATAGGTCCGAATGAAGGCAAAAAGTTCCAAAGCACGTGAGCAATACTGACCGTTTCAGTACTTAAAACTGTTTTCACTTTTTTCATAGGAACTGGAGGCCAGTTCTCAGTGATTACTAGTCTTCTGAATAATAGCTGTACTTTAATTTTTTCCCAAGTTATCTATATGCAAAAAGACATATTCAACATTTTTGTGTAGTTGGAAATCTATCTGTTTTTGCCTCTTGTACAACTCAAAAACAGGGGCGCAGATTTTATTTAAACTTTTTACAAATGTCCCCCTTTGGGCAGAGGCCAGACGTGAGAAACATCAATCCAAAAGTTGAGTTTTATAGCAAGTTATGAGTAAGGCTAAGATTATGTTACGGGGGTCACAGAAGCCATGGAATCCATGACACTTTCTGCTTCAGCCCCGGAGCTCTGAGCTGCCACAGGGAGCGGCTCTCCTCCGAGCCGCTGCGGGCAGCTGGGGGACCCCGGAGCTCCTACCCACTATGAGTGTTGGAGAGGGGACCCTGGAGTTGTCAGCTGCAGTGATGGCGGGCACTGGACTCCCCTCCCGCAGCAGGACTCGGTCTCAGCCCCGTTGTGTCTGTTATTTTTTAGTAAAAGTCAGGGACAGGTCACGGGCTTCTGTGAATTTTTGTTTTTTGCCTGTGACCTGTGTGACTTTTATTAAAAAGAACCGTGACAAAATCTTAGTCTTCGTTATGAGCAGTTGGGAAAAGGGATATTGTGCAATGGAAGTTAAGTAGCATATGATAACAAGCAGATGGTATAATTTAACAGAAAATACTCCTTTTGGATTTTCTTTCAGTAATGAAATAAAAAGCACCTATCCTATACTATAGTTGCCTTTTACAGAAATTAAAAATAATGTCCTAAAAAAGCCCATATAACTGTCTCACCTTCCCTCTATGGTTTATGTTACCAACCACAATTTAATCAAATAAAAATCTTGATCCTGTAAACATTCCAGAAAAATGGAAACGAAATAGTTAAGTGTGTAGCTTGACTTCACCTAGAAATGGAAAAGGGATTTCTGTTAAAGCAGCTATAAAAGATATTAGATTGTAGTCTTGTGAATCATCACGCTTTCTTTTCTTTGATTTTATTTGAGCAAAGTTATTGCGGATATTTCTTCATGGTAGAGTTAATTTGGGTGATGAGCACTGGAGTCTGAGCCATTGTTTTGGCCTAGCATAGAGGTGAGCAGCCTCATTGCAAAGCCGTACACAAGTATGTCCACTCAACTGCATTCACGCTGGCACTGCACTCACTCATATGAGGTGCCAGGACTTGTGGGGGCTCATCTGAGAGATCTTTGTGGTGCACTAAGCTGGACCACTCTGATTCTTTCCCAGTGAATTGTGGTAGAATAGTCTGTCCTTCCCAGCACACAGGGGATTGTGGGAAGAAACTGGAGGACTGTCTGCACTTGACTGTGCAGAGTGAGTTACCAGCTCATGTGAATAAGGAACCTGGGCTGTAACCAGCTGGCCCAGGTTGAAAGCACCACCACACTTGGGTGAGAGATTTGTGCGTGTAAACAGAAGGGGAGAAAGATCTTCAGCTAACTCTTTAGTGAAGATAAGTCTCTTAATTTTCCCAAATGAAGCACAGCACTTACATATGTTCTTTCTGTACCATCATCTGGTATGCTGGATCTGCTGGCTCCACAGAGTTTAACTGGGACTAAAACCTGCAGGCTTCCAACCATAGAGAAGAAAATAAACAAATGACGGTGAAAAAGCTATTGGAGAAACTGAACAAAGGTCAAGGGGATTGGTTTGAAATGTTCTAAAATCCTATTCTGAATTTGTGCGTGCATGGGTGTGTATATATTCTGACAAATTAAATGGGCCTGTTCATGAAGTCTTGGAGGACTTTCCTTTTGTCACTGAGCTTTACTTACCTGGTTTTGCTTGAATAATTGCTTGTTTAAAAGGTGAGAGAGAGGGAGAAAGAAATGAGCCTGTTATAGCAACTAATGAGCTATCTGTTTCAGCCTGAAGGGTTGGTCAGGCAGGGTGGTCAATACCTTGGAACCTATTAACCTTTGGAAAATATTTGACTCAGCTTCGGGAGGGGGAGGGGGTTGTTTCTTTAAAAAACTAATAAATCAACTTTTTCTCTTTGTAGAAGTACCGCTTGAGTTTCTTTTTCAAGTTTCTAATTGTACCTTACCATGAAGTTTGGCCAGATAACCTGCCAAAGGTGCAATTTAGCAATTTTTTTTCTAAAGATTAGATTTATTTTCTTCTTGACAGATAACTCATTCCCTCATGGTGTTCATTCATGTCTAGAGAAATTTAATGCATTCTCTCTAAACACCCATGCAGTGTGTGAGTTTAAGATAGAAAAATCCCTTTTTAAAGAGTGAGTCACTTGGGACTGAATTGGGCAATATTTGTGTTGCTTGTGGTGCATGTCTGTCTGCAGATATAGCATTGTATTAAACACTCATTTGAGTGTGTAAACATAGATTAAGGGAAAATATGACTTGGAATTTCCTGACTCTATAGAAATAAATAAATAAAACAATCTTTGCCAAGAATAACTTCATCTGCAAATGTTTCTTAAATGTGTTGCATGTCTGTTTTTGTTTAAAGCATGGGTGGCCAGGTCCTGTTCTCACATGTGGGCACCATACAGCCTCTGGGTGCTACAAGTGTCCAAGAGCTGCAGTTTTTCCTTGTTGACACAATGTTTTGTCTGGCTTTCTTATCCACCTGTTTAAGTTCTTGCCCTATATGTTGTTCCTTCAGGTGCAAAATAGTGTTTATTCCTAAATCCTTTTACCAATCCAGAAGAGTAGAGTTAGTTCCTCCTACCATCAGTAAAAGCAGAATTTTCTGATTATACTCTTTCCCTCTCCCCATCTAACTTCCATATGTTTCCTCTTAGGGTTAACTATGACCAGGTAACATGCTTTTACATGTCTTTGTTTACACCAGGGGCTCTCAGACTGGGGGTTGGGACCCCTCAGGGGGTCACGAGGTTATTTTACCTGGGGGGGTCATGAGCTGTCCGCTTCCACCCCAAACCCTGCTTTGCCTCCAGCATTTATAATGGTGTTAAATATATAAAAATGTGTTTTAAATTTATAAGAGGGGGGTCACACTCAGAGGCTTGCTATGTGAAAGGGTTCACCAGTACAGAAGTTTGAGAACCACTGATTTACATGATTTCCTAAGTAGTGTTTAAAAATGTATTAATTAACGTGTGTTAATGTGTTTTAAAACAGTTTTCCAGCCTAGACTATCCCTTTAATGTGTAGACAGGGCAAGTTGTGTTTTAAAAACATGTCAAGTGGTTGTCTCTCTCTAAATCCATTCTTTCACAAAAGCAGTCTCCCTGCCAGAAGTACTCTCCCAGCACAAAAACAAACACAAACCCCAAAGAAAACAACCCTCCTTTATATCTATTTTTCTGCCACTGCATAGAATTACTGTCCCCCACAATCCCTGCACTAACACAAACTCTTCTCCTGTGATCCATATTAAAGGAGTTATTTTCTATGACAGCGCACATTGTCTAATTTCCCTAATTAATTTTGATGCTGAAAGGTTATAGGCAATGTGTGTAGAATTTCCCCAAATGTCTCATGCAGTCTGTGGGAAGAGACCCTGAAAATAGTAGTATCAAATTACACTATTGACTGATGTTTGAGAGATTTTAGTTAAAAACAGAAGCAAAACCTAGATACGCTTGTTCTGCTTCATAGAAGGTAGGTACATTGCCCTGTAGAATATAGCTTCAGCGAAAGAGAACTCCGTCTCTTCTAGAAAAATAGCAACGAAGCCTTCATCTTCTCTGGAATATAACTCCAGTGATTAAAGTGTAGATTTGAACATAATCTGTATCCTTCTCTTTTTTTTAAAAAAAAATTATAGGTTCATGTATTGGACAGATTGGGGAGAAGTGCCAAAGATAGAACGTGCTGGGATGGACGGTTCAAGCCGCTCCGTTATAATAAACACAGACATTTACTGGCCAAATGGATTGACTTTGGATTATGAGGAATGGAAGCTTTATTGGGCAGATGCTAAACTGAACTTCATTCACAAATCAAACCTGGATGGAACTCATCGGTAAGAAATTTTAATATGATTTATATACAAATCCAATGGTTTTTGAATAGACTCTGTTTAATAAATACATAAGTTCTATAGTGGCTGATTCTAACCAGTCAAACTGCCATGTTAGCACTCATGAAGCTCCAAACAAACTAATAGTAAAATAAAAACAAACACAGGTGGGGTTTGAATGGATACTCAAACTGGGTGATGGTCCTTAATCCGTTGTATTCAGAAGAAAGGCTTTTGTAGCTTTTCTAAGAAGTGATCCTTAAAAGGCCCCCCTGTTAATTTATGTGGCTTTACAGTAACAGTTCCCTGGTTTTTTAAAATGGATTTTCTGTCCCTGCTTGCTGTAAGAATTACTTCTTAATGACAGTACAGTCAGCTCTTGCAATTTTATTGCAAGCCTCACACTATTTGGTCTTTGTCTGATAGCCCCAGGTCCTTGCATCAGGTAAATGTGGCAGAATCTCAACTTGCATTTTACTAAAAACAAACATTTATAGCCTCTCTAAGTAGTCTCTCTAAGTAGAGGCCTGTCAAATGCAGAAAATAAACATGAGGAAAAATATTTCAGTCTTTTCTTCTCTTTCAGTCAGATAAAGTGTTACTTATGACAAGAGGAGGGTAGAGCATTTTCAGAGATCTATGTGTGGGTGCTAAATTGATTGTATTACTCCAACAACGTTGTTAAGGGGTTACAGATTTAGCTATGTCTGGTACATTCAGGGCTACCTTTCAAGTAGAGGCCTACTTGGTACTACCTGAATGCACTCTTATCTTGCTTGCAGGATGTTGCTTTTCTATACCAAATGAGATGGTCTGTGCACTAATATCCTCCATGAAAATGTATCCTGTGTAGCTTATTCCTGAGATGTTATACGGAAATATTTCATACTGTCCAACATTAAGTCTTGGAGTTTTCTTTTGCAACTTTCCGTGATAGCTTTTAATTGGTTTATTTATCAATAAGGTGGTCTTTGTTACTCTCGCCTCAGACATCCCAGTGACTTAGCAATTGTTCCTGTGTGAACATAAATTCATGGTCAAATAATTTGGCCCTCTCAAGAGCCTCAGTATCTGCTATCTAGGCCTTTCATTTTAATTTGTGACTAGGTACATAGGCAGCATTTATAAAACACATCCACTGTCTTAATGTGGTATTTATTTGTAATCCATGGTTTCCTGCTATAAAGCAGAGGATAAAACCACAACATGGCTGGGTTGGCGGCTTACGCCACATACATCCTGAAGTCTGCCTCTTAACAGACAAAAAACTTTGTTGTTTCAGTGTTTCATCCAGAATTTTTGTATTAGCATTTGTCTGAGGGTTAACAGCAGCTGCGTGTAATATTTTTTTCAATTATTAAAATTAATTTAACTAGTATAGATAATTCCAGGCTGGGTATGAGGTTTGTAGTTTAAGTGGATTTTGAAATGGCTCTGGAATTGTTGCCTGGAAAAAAGAAAACTTAAGTAGAGCCAAAAAAATAATTGGAATCTGCTGCTGCTGCTGCCTCTCAGAATGCAGGACTGCCCAATGGCTCCAAAGTGGTGGGCAAAGGGGCAGAAATGACATTATCAGGTAAAATGCCTTAAAATGCAAAATAACTGATGTATAAAATTATTTAGGTCTGTGATATATCATTTGTTTTTTGATATAAATCTGATTAACAAAGAAGGGAACAGAGGATATTCCAGTTGGAGTCTAATTGGGGCTAAGAAAAATTGATGTTAAAGCTCTCTTCTAATGAAAAAGGAGAGCTATTAAATCCAGTTAAGTAATAGGTGTTTAAAATCTTCATCTTGACTGAAACCAACCACATGAAGGGCACAAAATGACAGCTTGCCCCTGACAAATTGCATGCCAAAGGTGGATTTCTCATCCAATTTTTAAATGACCAAGGTTTGTATAATTGTCAAATGACTCACAAAGAGAGCTGATTTGATCACACTTGAAACCCAGCTTGTAGTTTTTGTCCAACAGAGTAAATATGTAGCTTGCTTTATTTTTTGAGTCACCTGTTTTATGCTCTCATATTTGGATGGAAGGAAGAGGAGAAGCTTGTTAACTATACTAAAATAAGGGGATGGCTGTGGTGGGAGTCACTGGGTTTGAATAGATAGTCCAGGTAGGGCACATTGGAAATTATGCATAATATAGACATCTGGTGATGGTAAGTGTTCATTGTTAAAGCACCCAGTGATCAAAATCAATACTAACCTCTATCCAATTAGATGTGTGTATGTGCTTTCCTAACATGCAAACACAAGTTTCCCTGTGTCTTATCTATCATTCCCAGTCCTTCCAGCGCCACAGATACCTCACTGTTCCTGCAGGCACTTCTGCATTTTCAATATTTCTTTGCTGCAGGCTTGTTTTCAGCATCTCTCTTCTTAATGGTTTACTGTGCAGCAACACATGTGAACTTTAGATTGTAAGTGAACTCATCCCCTTATTTGCCTTTGGCTAACCTTAAAATGATAGTTGGAATTAGGAGGAAATTAATACTGAAGAAAAATAAAAAACAAAAAAACCCCCCTCTTTCTGAACCAGGTGCTTATAACCTGCCTTAAGCAGTCACAAGCATACACCACTTTCTGTAGCACCTGGTTTTCCCTGAGCACATAAGGGAGCCGTAAACATTCAGAATATAGTCAGCATCTGTGTCTTGTGTGCTGCATTTTTTACAATTCCCGTTCATCATGAAAAAAAGAGGAAGATTTATTCAAGGAGCAAAGCAGCTCTTTCTAATTTTTTTTTCTTCTCTGTCTTTACCTCCTAGGCCTTTGTCTACACTAGCTAACCCATTTAAAAATCAAAATATAGATGCAGTACGTTGTAGTTTTAATGTGTTAACTGGTCAAGGTCTTCCTTCCTTACTTTCCTTCCCAGGGTTAATCTTGACCAACTAATGTGTTAAAACCACAGTTTGGCCTGTCTACATTAGTGGTTTGTTTTTTTTTAATGTTATCAGTCATGTTTTTAAAAACACACCTTTTTCCTAGTGTTAACATACCATTAGTTTATTCAGTTTTCAGTGGCTTGGCTCTTTTGATGTCACCATTTTCTTAGTTTCCTCAGTCAAGATCTGAATTTCTAACCCAAAAAAAAAAAAAAAAAAAAAAAAAAAAAAAAAAAAAAAAAAAAAAAAAAAAAAAAAAAAAGGCAGGAAATAAAATGGAAAAACAACCTTTGAAAGTAAACAAACTTTTGAGGCCTTCTTTAAATGCACACAGACCTAAAAAAGGGTACAAATCCAAATTTTTCCTCTTTTGTTGGCCACCTTTTAAAATCCATGCACATACAAAACATACCAAGACATTGCAAAAGTAGAGAGCAGAAGAATGGGAGGGCAAGGACAGCATCACTCTGTGATGGTGTATTATTTACTTTAAAATAAATGTTAGCTTATTTCTAAATTACTGTTGTTAGTGAGGACTCATAGTATAATATGAAGGAGTATAGAGATGAAGGAGATGGCTCTTTAAAAAGATGGACCTTGTATAGCATGTAACTAATTGCTGTGTAACCAGGGGGCAGACACTTTAGTAGAAATGACCTGTGTTCAGATCCTTAACTAGCCATCACATATAATACATTTCATATATAATTTTTTAATAGTCTAATTTTTTCCTCCTTGAATTAGAACCTGTGATCTCTAGAAAATGCTACTCGTTGCTCTACTACTTTTCACTACACTGATATTACATATTACATGTAAACATTTGCTCATGTGGAAGCTATAGAGCCATTGAAGCAATAAACAGAAGCAACTGGCTTTACAAAAATTGTATAGTTTGGCCAATATAATGTCCTAAATCTGTTTAGATTGGTCAGTTTTGCAAAGGAGGCAGATGAGAGTACAAAGAAGATCTGCCTCTAGCCTTTTTAGTCTTGCATAATATAAGGAAGAAGACAAAGTTAATAGCAAATAAATGTGTTGTAGCAAAGAATCTACCAAGAAAGCGGATTAAATATGAGGCTTCATAGGAGAGAGAGTTTAATAATAATACCAAATACTATTAATCCAGAAAAGAGTTTCAAACAAGCCAAAGGAAATGGAGGTTTGGTTTGGCATGAATTTAGAAAGCAAATAATCTAAATTGGATGTGAAAAGCCAGCGTCTGATAGATAAAGCTCAAAGTATTAGAAGTTCAGACACAGCTCAAATTAATATACTGTGTGCGTACATTACATATATAGAAAATCAATTTCTTTGATTTTTTTTCAAAAGGAATTTGACAGCTTGCATAGACATATATTGTGGAATATTCTTCAGCTCTATGGAATCCCATCTAAAGTTGCCAATATCATTACAATTATGTATAGAGGCGAAGCGCTCTATAAGAGTGAACACAGTGGTTCATTACAATTCTGTATAGAGGTGAGCGCTCTATAAGGCAGCACAGTGGTTCAAAGTGGACACCATCACGAAACACCGTTCTGGTTGATCTTCTGGTTAGCATTGCCATAAATTGGATAATAAAGAAATATATTAGCAACATAAACACTGGTAAATCATGGGTAGATGGCAAATGCCTTGAAGATCTAGACTTGGCAGATGATATTGCGCTGTTGAGTGACACCCTCAAACAAGCTACAAAGATAATCTGGAAAAAGAGCATGCAAACAGGGCTCAAAATTAGTAATGCTAACACACATGTCCTCAAAACCCAGAGGTCAAGCAGCAACATCACATTAGAAGGCAAAAATATCAAGGAAGTTTAACAGTTCATCCATCTGGGCAGGACTATACTAGCTAGCGGAGACCTCAAGAAGGAAGTGACATCAGGAAAGGAAGGGCATCCACAGCATTCATTAAACTCGCAGCATATGGAAATCAAACATATACAGCATCAGAAAAAAACTTTAGAATTTTCAACCCAGACATAATCTCAGGATTAACATATGGCCGCAAATGCTGGATGAAAACGTTAGTCAGAAAACTAGACACTGTTGAAAATATGTCTACAAAAGATTCTGGGCATTAGATGGAAAGATTTAATCA